CCGCCCGGCCCCCCCAGCTCCGCCCCCCCGACGAGCCCAGGCGTCCGGGTGTCACCCCCTTGCCCCCCACAGGAGGAAGCGGCAGCAGGTGCCCAACGACATTGTCCCGGTGGTCGGGGGTCAAAGGTCATTCCGGGTCAAGCGCAAGAAGGTGAGGTCATGGCGGGGGGGGGGAGTTATTCTATGTGGCTGTTCCCATGAAGCCGCACCCCAGAGCTGGGTGCATCAAGGGATCCACGTTACGCCACGTGCGCCACCCCGGCACTGGCTGCATCTGGGCCCAATCCTGTGCAGATGCGGGACCAAGAGGGCGGAGCCAGGCTGGGGTTCCGCCCCTCGGGTCCCCCAGGGACCCCTGACGATGCCCTCAACTACTCAGAGATCCGGTTCCCCCCTGGCTCCCATGACGGGCCGGCCGCCTCCCCCAGGTAACCCAGGGGTCCAGGGCCCGGGCTAGGGGGGATCCAGGTGTCCAGGCTGCTTCTTATTGCCCTCTCCCCCCAATTATTTCCAGAATGCTGCGGGGCGACACTGTGGTCTACAGTGTCCTAAAAAAGCCGGACGGGCCCCAGAAGGTACCAGCCAGGGTGGGGCTGCAGGTCGGGAGTGAGGGGCACTGGCAGGTGTGGGGGTGGGGCAGGGGACTGCAGGTCAAGAGTAAGGGGCACCGAGGAGGCTGCCCCCTGCCCTTTGCCCTTTGCCTCCAGGCCGAGGCACGGGGCGACTACGAGAATGTGGGGCCAGCCGAGGAGCCCGAGCTCCATTATTGCTCCCTGGTGCTGCCTGTACGCCCTGTGCGCCGCCCTGACCCCGCCTGGGACTCGGACTCGGACTCGGGGGGCAGCGTGCAGTACGCTGCCCTACGGCACTGAGCACCCTGCACCCATCTCTGGGGGGCACCGCGGGACCCCGGCCCCATAGAACAGCTGCCTGCAGAACCCGGGTGCCCGGCTGTGGCTGAAGGATGGAGAACCTAGGCATCTGGGAGCCCAAGACTTCCATCCCACCTCGTGCATGAAGGACGGAGAACCCAGGTGTCTGGGAGCCCGGGACCCCTGCTGGACCCCTCTCTGGAGGGGAGACAACCCAGGTGTCTGGGATTCCAGGACTCCCACTGCATGAAATGTGGAGAACCCAGGCGTCCAGGAGAACGCTGCCATATAACATTGCCTGAGAGAGCTCCATCTGGCCTGAGATGCACCCAGCTCTGGGATGGAACGGCCAGAAGCAGCTGCATATAACAGCCCAGGTGGGCTTGATTGGGCCCAAGATGCACCCAGCTCTGAGGTGGAACAACTGAGAACAGCTGCATGTAACAGAGCTCAAGAAAGCATGATCAGGCCCGAGTTGCGCCCAGGTCTGGGGTGGAATGATCTGGAACAGCTGCATGTAACACAGCCCAGGAGGGCTTGATCAGACCCAACATGCACCCAACTCTGGGGTGGAATGGCTAGAAACAGCTGCATATAACAGAGTCCAGGACAGCTTGAATGAGCCCAAGATGCGTCCAGCTCTGGGGTGGAGCTGCTGGGCCCCAGGTGAGTGTAATACCACCCGGTTTTCCTTCCCCAGCCATGCTTGGTGCTGTACGGGCCACACGCCAGCCACATGCCCCACCTCCTGCTCCCCGCCCCCTCCCCACAGTCATAAATGTCCTTTATGGACCATTACCCCTGGACGCCTGGGTTCTCCAGGATCCCCAGGGCGGGGCCTGTTGTCGGGGCCAGTCTCTAGGCAACAAGTCTCCATCCCTTCCAGCCCATTACCCTCGAGGCTGTGGGTGCGGGGCCACGTACAGCACCTGGCGTGCGGGTGAGACTGGTGTGGGGGGGAGCTGGGCTGCTGGGGGAGGGGTCCTGGCGGGGGGTGTCAGTCTCCCGGGTGCCTGGGTTCTCCCCACTCCAGGATGAATCTGGAAGGGGGCTTTCCTGGGTTCTCCCCACCCTGGGATGGGTTTGGGAGGGGGGTATCCTGGACACCTGGGTTCCTCATGCCCTTGGGCAGCTCCCGGACACCTGGGTTCCCCTCATCCTGAGATGGGACGGGGAGGGGGCATCCCAGATGCCTGGGTTCTCGCTGCTCCAGGATTGGGGGGGAGAGAGGGGGATGCCTGGGTCCCTTCTCACCCCTCTCTCCTCCCCACAGGCCCACCATGCCCACCCCGGACTGGCTGGGCCTGTGTGTGAACGCAGGGGCAGCCGCCTTGGGCCTGCCAGTGGCCGGTGCTGCCCTGTTCCGCCTGGCCCGGCTCCCTCCAAGCCCCAGCCGCATCTACCGCCTGCACCTGCTGCTGGCCGACCTGGCGCTGGGTCTCTGCTTACCCCTGCGTGCCCTGGAAGCCGCCTGGCCTGGCTGGGCCCCGCCGGGCCCCCTGTGCCCCCTGGCCACCCTTGGACACCTGGGTTCCCTCTACGCCGCTGCCTGCTTCTCAGCCGCGCTCAGCGCTGGGCGCTGCCTGGGCGCCGTCTACCCACTGCTGTACCGGCGCTACCGTCAGCCCCGCTACTCCTGCTTCATCTGTGGGGGGCTCTGGGGGGTTGTGGGGGCCCATGGTCTAGCCCTGGTGGCCCTCGAGACCCCCTCCACCTCCAATGGGACCCTGGCCTCAGTTTGCCCTTCTGTGCTGCGCTTGGGCCTGCGCCTGGAGCTGTCCATGCTGCTGTACTTCGTGCCGCTGGTGCTGGCAGCTTTCTGCACAGCTGGCTGCCTCCAGGCCCTGGCACGGTCCCGCCTGGGCCGGCGCCGTAAGCTGCGGGCCGCCCGCGTAGCGCTGGCCTCACTGGCCCTGCTGCTAGTCGCCTCGGGCCCCCACAATGTGGCACACGTGGTGGGCTTTGCCCAGGGCCAGGATGTGGCCTGGCGCCACCTGGCGTTGCTGCCCGCCGCTGCCACTGCTGTGCTGGACCCACTGTTGGTGAGGGACGGGGAGCTGGGGGGTGTAGTGGGGGGGGGTTGTCGGTAGTGTTCCACCCCAGAGCTGGCTGCATCCGGGGGGGATAGGTGGGGTTGTGTGTGGGGGTTGTGTTGTTGCACCCCAGACCTGGCAGAATCAGGGTGTGATAGGTGACATTATGTGTGGCCATTTGTATTGTTCCACCCCAGAGCTGGCTGCATCTTGGCTATGGAAGGCTTGTCTGTATGCTGTTATATGTGGCTGTATTGTTCCACCCCAGACCTGGCTGCATCCCAGTGTGATGTGAGCCCTTTCTATGTGCTGTTATATGTAGCCATGCCCCACCTTGCTCGACCCCAGAGCTGACTGCATCTGGCTAGCAAATGAGCCCTGGTTTGGATGGTGTTATCTGTGGCTGGGTCACCTCATTGCTCCACTCCAGAGCCGGCTGCACCTGGATTATGGGAGGCCTTCCCATAATGTGGCTGTCTCTCATTCCTCCACCCCAGAGCTGGCTGCATGTTAGTGGTGATTGAACTCTATTATGTGTGCCATTATATTTGGCTGTCCGCCACCCGCAGAGCTGGCTGCATTTCAGTGTGGAATGAGCCCTGTCCTATGCGTTTCCCCCTTATTGCAACACCCCAGAGCTGGCTGCAGCCTGGTGTTACGTGTGGCTGTCCCCATCTTGCTTCACCCTGGAGCTGGCTGCGGGAGTGAATGAACTCTGCTCTGTGTGGTGTTATCTGTGGCTGGGTCCCTCGTGGTCCCTCCCAGAGCCGGCTGCATGTTCCTGTTGTGTGAGGCTTGTTCTATGTCTCCCCTACACCAGAAGCGGCTGCATCTCGGTGGTGAACAAACCCTGTTGCATGTGACCACAGCTCCACCCCAGAGCTGGCTGCACTGAAAGGAGCCTTCTTATGTGTTGTTATGTGTATGCATTTCCCACCCCCACCCCCACAACTGCAACCCCTCCAGAGCTGGCTGCATCTGGGCCCCTGATGTCCGCTGTTATATGTTCCCACTGGCTGCTCCTCCCCAGAGCTGGCCACATCCCCAGCCGACAACCCTGGCCCCAAGGGGGCCGCGCACGGAACTGTACGGGGTTTACAATAAAGAAATCTCAGCTTGGATCTGGTCATTGTCCCATGAGTGGGGGTTCTGGGCCCGGATGCCTGGATTCGCTGGGGGGGGCAGTGGGGGCTGGGGGGTGACAGCAGGGGCCCGGATGCCTGGGTTCTGTCCAGCTCAAAAGCAGTGGGTTTAGGAAGGGGAGAGCAAGGGGGTGCCGGGAGCCTGGAGAGCAGGGCGGTCTGGGGGCCCAGAGGCCTGGGTTCTCCCCCCAGCCAGGGATCTGAGGGCTCTCGTGGGAACGTGCTGAGCCCAGCCAGTGCCACATGTCACCCACTTCCCCTTCCGGCCACAAGACTTACCGGCCATCCCGGGCCCTGGCTGCAGCCCTGTCTGGCCCAGGGTCCTCAGCCGGACAGACCCCCCCACTTCCTGTCCCAAACAGGCCCAGGCTGTTCCACTTGGCTGCCAGCTCCTCCCCAGAGCTGGCCACATCCTGAGGCCGGATGTATCCCCACTGGAGGCAGTGTCTTTGGGGATCTGCTTCCAGCTGCCCCACCCCAGAGCTGGGTGCATCAGGCCACCAGGTAAGTTTCCCCCAAGGGCTGTTCTATGCAGCTGTTCCACCCCAGAGCTGGGTGCATCCCAGGCCCTGGATGTGACCCTCAGGAGTGGGTGACAGGGGCCGGTGGTTGGTAGCTAGGGCTGGGAGGAAGATGCCTGGGTTCCCTGGGGAGGAAGTGGGGGCTCGGGGTGAGAGCAGGGGGTGCTGGGAGCCCAGACACCTGGGTTCTCTGGAGGGTGACGGGCATGGGGGGTGAGAGCAGGGGGTGCTGGGAGCCCGGATGCCCAGGTTCTCAGGGGGGTGACACCGTGAGGGGGCCCAGATGCCCGGGATCTCTGCAGCTCGGGGAGGGGAGCTGGGGGGGGAACTCAAGGGGGTCGATTTTTGTAGTGCGGTGCTACAAGCCATACGGTAATCCCCCTACTACCGTATTTCCAAGTATACCAGCGCAGCTGAATCTGGGGCCTGTTCAGCTCTGGGAGGGGAATGGGGGCTGCAGGGAGGGGTCTGGGTGCCTGGACGGCTGGGTTTGGGGGGATCTGGACCTCAGTTCTCTTTCTAGCTGCCCTGGGGCGGGGGGGAAGAGGAAGTTTCCAGGAAGGGCGGGTGGGGGCTGTTCTGGGACGTCTCCCCCGCCCAGACTCCTACTTCTGCTTTCGGCTTCCGGCTCAACGTGTTCCCTCCAGTCCGGGGAGGCCCCCCCCCCCGCCCTGCCAGGGGCCCC